CAATTAGGATTATTACATGGTGACCATTGCTGATCATTTAATACATGGTGACCATTATGATTTATACCTAATGGTCATCCATGTATGACAACCCCCCCCCCCCCGATCCTAACGCACTATATGCATACTACTGCTAGCTAATTCGATTTCATCAAAAATTTGTATAACGTTTATTCTGAAATAACCAAACAGGTCTCTCCAGCTTCCAGCTGGGCCCCTATTGTCTAGGGAAACACCTATGGACTTGAAAAGTTCCCTCATGAAAACTTTTTACCAAAGCGTTACCAATGAATGCATAAGCTTCTCTTTCACTTTTTTTGCGTAGGAAGGGCGCTATCGACTTGAGAAACCTGAAATTTTAAAACAATTTTAAAATAATCAATATTAAAATAATCAAACAGGTCTCTCCAGCTTTCAGCTAGGCCCCTAGTTCTTCTGAGTGAAATAACGGACAAGTCTTTGAAGAAGCTAAGTCGCATGGCGATAGAGTTCTCAATTGGCCAGGACAAAGTTGGGGACGAAATTATGGCAATACGCGTTTCCTTGTCACGGAAACGAAGCTTAGAGTCGTTGTTCAAGTCCAGTGAGTTGATGCCATATCAAACCGTCTACGCTTTGGTATATTCTTCTTTGTTAATTTTTTCTCACAACATGGTTGTTGAAGCTGGTTTTTCTGTCATGAAAACGCAAGAGTCTGTATATCAATCTCAGATGAGTACAGAAACTTACGACGCTCTCCGTGTTATTCGCGACAACTTCGACCGGGAAAGCTACGAATCATTCGACCCTATTCAGTGGATATCTGACAGTCCCTCGAGGTCTACAAGCGGCCGAATGCGAAAAAAACTAGTGAAGAACTTTCCTAGTGACATCCAGGAGGCAGAAAAGAAGCTCAAAGGGCTGTTGGAGAAGAAGCGCAACTTGCAGCAAGTGGTTGATAAACCTGCGCATGCCTTTATAAACGCATTAACGAGGAAGTAAATCTTTTTGCCTCCCAAACTGTGTTCAAAATTGAGCTTACGTAAGGTCGCTAAAACGTCACTATTAGTACTTTTCTATGGGGTCGCTACTTTTTTTTTCATAAGAGTGGTCACCCTGGGCTGAGAACTGATTGCACGTTGTTGGCGGCTTCTTGAGTGTCGGCTTAGGAGAGTGTCGTAAGGTCGTCGGCGAAGACGTCGACGATAGTGCTCGGATTTGTGCGAAAGGTGTCCTTGTGCGAGCTCCTTGGGCTAGGCCTCTTTGGGCGCTCTTGAGCGGTGGACGGACCTCTCGGCTGTGATAGCTGTGTAGTTGATAACTTTCGGCGCCCGGTCTTGTTTTTGAGCTTTGTCTCTTGTAGGACTTTCGGGGCTGAGTTCGCTCAACAACTTGTAGAGGACGGTCCGTTTCCCCCTCCAACCATCCACTTTGATTTGGAGGATGCACTCATTCTTGATGTTATCTTCTTTCTTCTTCTGCTGAGCCGGGGTACAGCCGCAGTTCCATCTTCAGGTTGACCAGCTGCGTATTTCCGCTACGCTCATGTTCAGGCAGCGTCGGTGGAACCAGCTCATGCAGTCACCGCACTTGATTGAGTAGTCCTTGTTGATGACGTTCTTGGTGCAGTGGGGGAACTTGAAGGGGACTGGGGTTACTTTCGACGTCTCCAGAGAGAAGAAGGCATTGCTGGGTTTCGTTTGTTCTTCTGTTCACGGGGAAGGCTGGGTGTCTCAAGTCCGCGGTGCTACTTGGGGAAACCCCCATATACTCTGCAGAGTACCCTGGTTGATCTGGATCTTGGAGGGAGGTCGGAACTTCCACACATCTGAGGCAGACGCCAGAGACAGTTGAGATACGGCTCGAGTGAATTCATTCATCTGATCAGAATTGTTTAGTTTTTGTATTCCTATTTCAGATCACCCAACTGCTAAAGGAATCTAAGTTTAGTTACAGTTAACTTCTCGATGCGAAAAGAGCTCTGCATCAAAATTGTATTGAATCAATCAATCGGAAAGCCTCAGATTACATCATGACCAGCTATGTGTTTTGGTTGATTCACTCAAAGAAAAACCATTAGTTATAGCTTTATGCGAGACATGGCTAACTGACAATGATTTTTTGGATTTTTTTCAGTTGGATGGGTATCAAAAAGGGATTTTTAAAAATAGGGAAAAAGGGGTGGCGGTGTTGCTTTTTTTTTGTCAGAACGGGAGTTAAATTTATTCTTCAGGATTTAAAATCTAATTTGGAGTATCTTACCATAACTATTTGGAACAAATTAACTTATTTTAACATATGCACGGTCTATAGATCACCTAATCAAACATATTCAACATTTCTAGAAAATCTGGATTATCTATTAAATGAACTTCGACTATTAAAAGGAAATCCAGTTATTGTGGGAGATTTTAATTTTTATATTCTTGCCAAGGATGAAAAACCAGAAGTGTTAAGTTATAAAACGCTCTTAAAGTCTTTTGATTTGGATTTTTGTTTGAGTGAACCAACCAGATTTACTGAAAATAGTGCAACATGCATTGACCACTTTATAACTGAAGATTTTTATCCGGTGACAGTTATCATACCACAATTAGTGATCACTATGCATTGTTGGGTGAATTGCCGTTTTCGGTTGAAATGCCTGGCAAAATTGTTATTTATACCAGAAATTTTAAAAAACTGAAGCTTGATGACAACCTACTTAAGTTATTATTTCTTCTACACGTCGAATTGGAAAAGTTGAGTGATAAGGAATCAGTAAATACAAAAGTCCACGGTTTAACGTTATCAATGATTAAAGTTTTTGGTAAGTTTTGTCCTTTGAAACCAATTGATTTTACAAAACAATTGAAAAAATCTTGGATTTTCAACAATGTGAAACAAATATGCAAAAAACGAGACGCTGCTCACAAGAAAATGGTAACACTTTCGAACGATGAAACAAAAGCGAAATTCAAAAAATTGAGAAATGAGGCGAAAAAGCTGATTATGACGGAGAAAAGAAAGTTTTATGACAATCAACTTGGAAGTTGTAATGATTCCAAAAAAATGTTTCAAGTTTTCAATAAATTTTGTGGAAAAAAGAAATCCAATTCGTGCAAATTAGAGGTGAATGACATGAATAAATTTTTTGCTACCATTGGACCCACACTTTCAAAAAACTTTGTGGAGTTGAAATACAACGATAAAATTTCACGAAACTCTGATACTTTTGTTTTCTTTCCCACTGATTTTGATGAAATCTCGAAGGTTATTAAGAACCTGAAAAACAAAAACTCGACTGGTCATGATGGTTTGAGTAATGTAATGATTAAACTTTGTGCACCAGTCATTATAAAGCTCTTGGTTGTTTGTTTTAATGAAATGTTCGACTCGGAGTCTTTTCCTGACGATTGTAAAATAGCGAAAGTGATTGCCCTGTTCAAAAGTGGAAGTGAAATTGATTTTGCTAATTACCGACCCATCAGCCTTCTATCAACTATAAGCAAAATTTTTGAAAAACTAATTTATAGAAGAATGGTCAAATTTTTACAGAAGTATAAAATTCTTTGCCCTGAACAGTTTGCACTTTTTCTAGATTTTAAGAAAGCATTCGACACTGTCGATCACGATATCTTAATCATTAAATTAGAGAAATATGGGTTCCGTGGTAAATTTTTAAATTTGTTGAAAAATTATTTAATTAACAGAGTACAATTTGTAAGTGATGGTATCATAAATTCTTCATTTGAAAAAATAACTTGTGGAGTTCCCCAAGGTTCGATTTTAGGTCCTTTATTGTTCTTGATTTATATCAATGATATTTCAAATGTAACAAAGACATCCGAGATAAGCCTTTTTGCCGATGACACTATTGTTGGTTCTGGTAAAACGAGAGCGTTTTTGAAAGAATTCAGAACAGATACTCAGAGCCTAAATGACTGGTGTAATATCAACAAGTTATCAATTAATACAGACAAGAGTAAACTGATGGGTTTTGGTAAAGCTATGCCTGATGCCTCAATTTCCATTGCTGGTGAAAACATGGAAAATAAAGAAAGTTTCAAATATTTGGGTATTGAAATTGACAAAAAATTGAATTTTAATATGCAGACTGTAAAAGTTTGCACGAAAATTTCCAAATTTAATGGTGTTTTATATCGAGGAAGATCTTGTTTCTCTAAACAGGCATTAATTAAGTTTTACCTTGCATACGTGATTCCACTAATTTCTTATGGCTTATTAGCTTATGGATGTACATCGAAATCAAACCTTGATAAAATTTTCTTGGCACAGAAAAAAAATCATAAGAACCATTTTCTTCCTTCGAAAGTATGATCATGTGTCGGAGTATTTTTCAAAATTCCAACTTCAGAGTGTACATGAAATTTTTATCAGCCAATTGTTTTCCGAGACAATTTTTCAGTTCCTTGGAAAATCGCCTTTAAAGTTTTTGAATCTTGATTATGTAAAAACGCGTCGTAGTACCCGGTCGAATAGTTTAGGTTGTATACCCTTACCTTTGAGAAAATCAAAGTTAGCACAAAATTCGGTTTCGTACAAAATTGTGAAATGCTATAATTTCCTAATGTCAAATAACCTATTGCCTCTTAACCTTAACGAGTTTACTGACAAACAGAAGAAAGACTTTTACAAAAAATTTAAAGTGTACTTAAATGACAATCGATTACTTGTTGACATGTTTATAGGGTAAATTTCGTGTACCCTCATATTTTAACTCGGTTTTGCTTTCACTTATTTATCTAGGTTTCCCTTAGGTTACTGCTAGTTGGGCTGTACTGCCCGTACAGTAACCTTGATGCAGTATTTAAGTACACATATGTGATCTTTATACTGTCTCTAAATTCAAATTCAAGAATTCAAAATTCAAGGTGTCATAAAATCAGTTAAAAAGCCTCAACAATAAGATCGAATCAATCTGTTCTATTTTTTAAATCGTTTATCGTATCGATTATACTTATAGGATAGTTATTTATATCGTCAAATTATCAATTATATGAGTTTGATTTTCTTTCCAGGTCAACGCAGATGATCCCAGCAGCTCAAACAATGTTTCGGTTGAAGCCACAGATTCCAGCCCTCCACAGGAAGTATCAGACAAAGATAGCTTAGGCACAAGTAACAGTGGCGAGGACGAACATGTGAACAACAATTAGGTCAAGCAAAAATGCACCAAGTTATAGGCAATACTCGTAACTAATTATTGTACAACAAAATTATCGCAATAAAAATGTTGCTATACACTACAGAAACAAAGTCAAATCCATCTGTCCTGTTATTTTTTAAAGAGCCATCACCAAAAACCCTTTCTAAATTTCTATCTTTTATGCCTTATTTAATCTTTTGTTTGCGTAATCAAAAATGTTTTCCACGTTTGACGTTGAACTCTCCATTTTTGTTTAAAAAAATAAAATTTAGTTTTCAAGCTTATCAGAATTGTGCAATTTTTTAATGTAGAATTGATAGATTTGATCAATTGGAATAATTTAAGTGTCAATGAACCTATTGAAGAAAGACACTTATATAAGTAGTCTTCATTTTTCTCTGCTTTTAAAGGAAAAAGTCTTGAAAGTCGTTTAACTTGAATTTTTGGAGTTTCAATTTTGATTTATTTTTGCTCTCCATTTGCGAAAGTAAAAATGGCGCAAACAAAAAATATGCAAGACTTCTAGTTTCAAAAATGGACTTAATTTTCTGAAATCCCAGCGGAAAAAAATACAATTGGCCTTATTTTCTCTAATTGGGTTAAAGAGTGTCAATCATAAAAGCTTCTTGAAATTTGCTGCGCTTTAAGTTGATGTATTTTTTTTCTACAACTCGAAAACAAGTTTCTCAGCAAAAGCTTAAATTTTTCTGACTCCGTGGCTTCATTGACACTTTTCCAACTGGCAGTTGGCTATGTTTTACTGTTGCAATGTGTTTGATTACCTTCAGCATTTTTCCCGAACTAGAGAGGACTTTTAAAGCCTAGGTTAGGTGTTCATTTAGCCCAGAAAAACAGGTCTGAGACAGCAGTTTAAATAGCGTTAATATTTATTTGTTGATCAGTGGACGAACTTATATAAACTATTTTTGTATTTTGTGTTTGTTTCCCTGGTGCTCAATTAATCTCTTCTATAAAAAAAAATGTAAAATATATTTATAAAAATTAGGGGATTAATATTAATAGTTTGTATCAAATCTTAAATGTACAACACCTTTACTTGCTTGAGAGTTTAGTTTCTCCTTGTCTTTTTGATCTCACTGTTAAGAAAATCGTATGCAACTTATATTGACCATATGAGCAATATTTGGTCATCAGTATTAATTGCAGCAAGAACTACTGGCAATTTTTATACGTCCGATTAAATAACCCTTAAAAGACGGTTTTCTGTTATTTTTTCAGAAATATACTTGAATTTACTGCTTTTCAAGTATTGATCTTGTCAGCAGGGGCAGATCTCGAATTTTCTCGTGGGGGGCAACTAAACAAATTGCGTTTTTTTGACGCGCTGCCCCTTCAAAATTAGTTTGTTGGCGCCTTTAGAAAAATTTTAGGTTTGGTCGGCCTAAAGTGAATGTTATAAAATGATACGAAAAGGGGGCAGGGATCCTTTGGTTGGCAATGGGCTCGCGTTCCTGAAGGGGCGTCCGCCCCAGCTCCCACCTTTCACTAAATCCGCCCCTGCTTTTCAGCAGTGCACATGTGAAACGTAAAAACAGAGACTACGTGATTTAATTTTGGTTCAAAATTTTGAATTTCAAATGAGAAGAACGATGGTGAAGTGCCAACGATTGTCCGTGTTCGTTGCATTCGGTTAAGGCTGCAATTCTCAGCCCTGAAAGAAATGAACATTTTGGTTTGAAGCTATTGAACAGCGGTTCTCCGTTAAGAGCTGAAAAACTTATACGTTTTCCTTTCCTTTAGGGTAAACCGTATTAATCAACTAATAAAAATACGGAAGATGGTTTTCAAATTTGTTTGTACCAGCTGGGTGCAATGTTATTTTTCAATGTATCTAGCATCTTTCAAGCGACAAACCGGTTGGACACAAGAATTGGCATGCACGGCTCTCAGATGTCCACTTTCATGACCAGAGTTGGAACCGGGCCTGAATTTGAGGACCGGCCCGGTTGCTTCAGGCCCGGGCCGGTTGGAGAACAAAAAATTCAAGCCGGGACCATTTTTAATGAAAAAAAGGATTTCGAATCAAACAGTAAATTGAAATTCAAGTGTGAATTAAAAAAATATAAATTAAATAAGTCCATTGTCTGCAGTCGATCCTAATAGTTCGATTTGGCTGACTTTTGGCGCAGAAAGGAGGGCACACTTGGCTGTCCTGATTTTCCCAGCCCTGCTGAGGTCACGCTCGCTCTGGGCGCTTGTAGCTTGAACAGGTAGGACGCTCCTCCTTTCCAGAAATAGGAGGGGTCCGGGCTGATAGCCAATAATTACTGAAAAAAGATCATAATAGTAGGAAATTCTTTAAAAAGGTTTTCAAATTAATCCTATTTCATCACTTAATGAGAAAATTTTCGGCTTTAAGTCCCTAATTTTACGATTCGGCTTGAAGACCCGTCGGCTTGATGTCCGGCGCCCCGTACGTATGGGTCTAGGACAACAAGCCGACGGGACTTCAAGCCGAAAAAATAAAAAGACGGTTTATACGATTTTTAATTACGAAAATTACTGCAAATATTAGAAACACCTTCCCAATAGTTTTTCAAAGACGAAGTTCTATCTAAGTATGAGTTTTTAAGGCGGGAAATTTTCTCATTGAGGTCTCGATACTTCTTTTTTTGAATATTAAATGCCTCTCCTCGAGAAATACGTCGTATATCGAGTCGCGAATATTGCTCTTGTTCTCCAAGTTTTTGAACAACCGTCCAAAAAACCGGATTTTTTGTCCCCACAGATGCGTTCCAGTCACGATTCCAGCTCTCACATTTGTTGGTTGTCCTCAGATTTAAGGGCCGATCAAACACATTCCATAAAGTTAAAGGAATTCGGCCAAAAATCCAAAAATTCCACATGTAAGCAAAAATTTGTCCGATTTCTGGGTATCGCGAAAAAATCGGGTCTTCTTCGATTTCGGCCTCAAAACCTCCGAGAGCGGCTTCAATTTCATATTCAGGCAAAAACGCTAGACTGAAAAGTTTTTGCGCAATTTTTTTCAGGTTTTCGTCTTGATAGCCTTTTTGAAGACCAAAATCTTGAAATTTTCGAAATATGCATTGGGAAAAGTGGAACCAGCATCCCCAATGAGTAGATACTACGATAATTTTCTTGGCAGCTGCAATTCTTGGCAGCTGCAAAAATTCTAGGCCTTCAGTTGTCGCAAAAATTACGAGACCAATTTCTTGATGTAGAATAAACTCTTTACCTTGTTTCGTTTTTTGCCATGCACCTTCAATTTTCACATCTTCTAAAGTTTTCGGAGATTCTGGTAAAATTTCGGCTCTTTTTCGGCTCATGCTTTTTCTGATTTTCTCGTATTTTGGGGGCAAAAAATCTTCAGAAGTCCCCTGAATCGCTTCGTCATAGGATTTCTTCAAACTTCTACTGACATTTTGCTCAACGCTCTGAATCACTGTTTTTCGAAAATTTTCTTGCTGAATTTTTTCGTCTGGGGGGAGGTGATTGTGTTCTCCAGGTTTTTTGAAACCAATTTTGAGTCTCCTGTCATTGTAACACGCGATGGACAATTGATTTCAGAACATTTGAAGTAAATAAAGTTTTCATTAGTTTTATTTCTTCGAAACATAAATCCGTTTATAATTAAATTTTGACCTTTTTTGTTTTTGGCTTCGATAAAAGAAAAGTCCATATTGAGTCAGGAAATAATAAATAAAATTGTTTTAAAACATGTGGTATTTATTCTGAAAAGCTCAACCGGAACGAAAGTTTTCGTTTCCGCGACCTTTCTAAGTTCATTCTAAATTTACATGCAAATTTTCGGCTTCCTGACCCTAATTTTTCTCTTCGGCTTGAAATCCCGTCGGCTTGTTGTCCGGCACCCAGTTTGATTACCATTCCACGTATCATTGCACAATAACAACATGAAGACAGTTTTCAAAGTAGCAATTCAAATGTGGGGGAAAGTGGAAATGAGCACAAACTATATTTTACGAACATTTTTTTTTCTTCATACTTTTTTACATCGTAACACAACGAAATTAGACTTAATAACACTATAAAATGGAACATAATGTAAGGGGGAAATTGGTAAGAGTCGAAACATCCATTCTGACCTGGCGTTACAGTAAGATTCCGCATCAAAAACGGAATCCATCAGTTTTTCGGAGATGTGGTAGCAAGTGACGTTGATCAAGTGGTACTGATATGGACAGTAAGTCCCCTCCATATTCACAAATTCATAGTTACAGAGGAACGTTACTGAGAAAATAAATATATATTTCAGCATTTTGATGCACCAATCGCGGATGTGAAATATTGGCTGTTTTGTATTCGTAAAGTTTCGAAAGAAACTATTAATGAGATATCTGGTAAGATTGCAAACAAAAACGCGGTATTTTTTTTGAGATTTTGTTGATGACTCTAGACACAAAGAATTATACGAGTCACATGTATTCTGCAGCAATTTTAGATCTTATTCTACCCCGCTCTTTGGCTCTTTTTCCTTCCCCCCCCCCCCCCCCCACCTCACTCAAACATGAATTTTATGATCTAACGAGTGGTTTTACAAGGTGAATTAAGAAGACCAAATATGTTTGTCATGGCCTAATTAGTCTACATGCCAATTTTCTTGACAATCGGACAAAGTGAACAGTAACTTCAAATATAATAATTTGCAGGTGGGGGGAAAAGGAAAAAGAGCCCGCTCTTTCCCCGCTTCTAAACATCAATGTCCACTTTAAGAGATTATACTGATTATACGATGCTTTAGATGAAGAAACTAAATTTGCCAAGGGACAATCAACTGCCGTCTCTTTTTCCTTTTCCCCCACCTACGAATTCTTACAAGTAATTTTTTGTTCTAATTGACCGAATGTTACAAAAACTGGCATGCGGGCTAATAAAGCTATGACAAACATAATTTGGGGCTCTTTTTCCTCCCCCCCCACCTCACACGACCTTCAATATATTAGTGTAACGAGTGGTTTTACGAGGTTGAGTATGAAGACCAAATATGTTTTTCGTGGCCTTATCAGTCTGTATGTAAATTTTCATAGCAATCGGACAATGTAATCAACAAATTTACTTGTAAAAATTTGCAGGTGGGGGGGGGAAAGGAAAAAGAGCCTATTTTGGTTTTCATACATACCTTATAAAACCCCTCGGCTCTTTTTTCCTTTTCCCCCCAAGCATCGATCGATTTCATGGTGTAACGAGTGGATTTACAAGGTTGAGTATGAGGACCAAAGATGTTTGTCCCAGTTTTTTTGACCAAATGCAACTCCAAATCGAAAATGGAAATGGGTCAATTTGTTTTATCAAGAGAACTTAGGGAATAATACGATCCCAAAAAACTTTCAATTTAGCTAGTTTTTTGACCCGCCACCTAGATCTGAACGTATCGCCG